TCTTGTACCATAATCGGTCAGTTGTATCCCATCCTCTTTATTCGAAAATGGAGTTTGGGTCTAGATTGATCAAAACCACAAATTCCTGAGTGGGCTTCTTCTACGGCATGTGTTGCTTCATCATTACTTAAACATTAAAGGAAAACTTCATTGATTGATCGTCGATAAATGTTGCTTTATAAAAGACAAAGCGAGATGCACGACTCTTGATTTCAGTTTTTTGTCGTGGATTATCTGGTAACTTTTGATATTGAAGGAAATCGATTATTGACCTTCTCCAATCTTCTCTTTCCCCATCATCGATTATTTTGACGCTGTTGTTCTCTTCTAGATTATCTCTAAGCAATTGATATGAAGTAGGAAAAGTCTTCATCTGACCTAGCTAAAATAATGGCTAAATTACCCCAAGGCATCAGTTTCCCCGTTTTCACTTCTAGGCACGAATTTGATTTTTACCGAATCAAATTGTTTCATAAGTGTTGATGCATACTCATGATATGATTTCTAGTCTAAGTTACAGACTTCATACTTGGCTAAAAGTTGATTGATTATCAATTTAGAATATCTAAAAACTTCCAATTGATGGATATCCATATCTAATGTTGTCTCTAAGCTAAGGATAAGGGTTTGATATTTCGCCATATTATTTGAACATTTCTTTGTTAAGGTAAATGAATAAAGCATAACGAGATCATGAGGAGTAACAAAAACTGCTCATTCTTTGGGACCATAACTTCGAGCTACCCCATCATAGTATAGCCTACATGATGGTACATCTTCAATAGACAAGACTTCTTCATCCGAAAGGTCTTCCTAAAGTTCCCATCCCCCCGAAAATGGATGGTCAGTGAAGAAATCTACCAGAGTTTGTCCTTTAATGGCCTTCTATGGAATGAATTTGATATTGAACTCGAACAATAGAAGTGCCCATTTTGCAATCCTTTCGAAAAGAAACGGCCTGGACATTATGTACTTCAAGGGATCAATCTTTGAAATAAAATTGATTGTGTTTGATAGCATGTAATGTCTTAACTTTTTAGACACCAAGATCAACAAAAGACATATTTTTTCAATAGGTGAATGTTTCATTTTAACACATACCAATGTCCAGCTCAAGCAATAGAGCTCATTCTCTTTTCCCTCGTCATTAACTTGGACAAGAAGTGCTCCCAAATAATATACTTGCGCTATAATATAAAGAGTCAATGGCTTTCCTGGAGTTGGAATTGCGAGTATTGGCGGATGAGACAAATATTGCTTAATACTTTAAAATGCATTTGGACATGCATCATCCCACTCAAATTGAACATTTTTCTTTACTAATTTGTTGAATGGATGACAACGTCGGGCAAGGTTAGAGATAAATCTTCGAATGTATGCAAGTTCTCCTTGAAGACTCTTTAACTTATGCATATTTCCTGGCTCTAGCATGTTCATTATGGCGTTAATTTTTGATTGATCAAATCTATTATTGGAAGTGGAAAATCAATTTCCATATTTCCACTTTCAATGCCCTGATGTCGAACAATAAAGGAAAGAAATTTTCCAAAGGTGACACCAAATGCACACTTTAGTAGATTCATCTTCAGTTGATGTCATCAAAGTATTTTGAAAACATCCTGTGAGTCTTGTAGATGCTCGTCACGTTTCTTTGTTTTAATAACAAGATCATACACATAGCATTCCATGTTTTTATGCAGCATATTATCGAAGATCTTTTGCATTGCCTGCTGGTAGGTTGTCCTTGCATTTTTTAATCTAAAAGGCATAATTTTGTAACAATATATGCCTTTAGGAGTACGGAATGATGTAAGCTCCTCATCTTTTGGATTCATTAGTATTTGGTTGTATTTGACAGACACATATATGAAAGATAAAACTTTATACCCTATAGTTACATCCACCATCAACTCTGTTATTGGAAGTGGAAAATCATCTTTGGACATGCTTGGTTCAAATCTCGAAAGTCAACACAGACTCGTAGTTGTCTATTTTTTTCCTAAAAAGAACAATGTCTACATCCAAGTTGGGCACTTGATTTCACGTATGAATTCGAATTTGACCATGCCAAGTATCCTACACGTGATGAATCCGGTTCAACTCCAATTGAGGAATCTACTGCTATTGATTTTCAAAATTTGCTACAAATTAATGCTACTAAGAATCATGGGGGCATAGGTAAACCTCCAATTAAAGGAAACAGTAGACAATTGATCTCCAATCCAATGCCCCAAGTTTTGGCAACTATGGTGTCTTCCAATACCAATGCGGGTGACCTGACTTCTACATAAGATAAGGCAATTCCATTATTGAATTCTACTCCTCCAAATGTACCTTCTATACCATTGCTTCCGACCAATAATTTGGCAAAGCTCACTGCCAACTTCAAGCTTCCATCGCTGCTTAAGCTTAACACTGCCTTTGCAGTATCCAAAGTGGTCAATGAACCTAAGAGTCTATCTCAGCAGACCAGGAATGTACAAAATAGACTTGGCCATCCTCTGTCGGCTCAGATCTCAATTAAAACATCTATTCGCCCATCTAGAGTTGTGGGAGCTATCCAATCTTTGATCTTACGTCGCTTCACTCAATTGCAAACCCGTGATCACACGGGCTGAGAGTTAGAAGAAATCATTTGCACATGTCCTTCGTGCTCCTGAGAACTCCAGTCATCGCAGCTTGGTTTCCAAGGAACCATATATCTACCATTGTGAACCTGCAGTATTTTTTGATAAATCTGATGAGCAGTTCTTGGCCAAGGCATACAGGTTCACACTTGTTGGTAAATTTGTACATCGCAAACCCTCTAGGAATAAGGTACTCGAAAACATTATGTGTTTCATCTTTTTTGGTGATTATGAGATTGGTCTTATTGATGATGGACACTTATTATTCATATGATGCACGAGGATGATTACTCACGATTATTCCTCAAACCCACTTGGTATATTGATGGTTGTCCTATACGTGTATTTAAATGGACCCCCAGTTTCAGTCCACAGCATGAGGCTCCTATTGCTCCTATTTGGGTGTCATTTCCTTTATTGCCTATTCATTTTCATGCCAAAAGCGCATTATTTGCTATAGCTAAAGGTATTGGGCTTCCGCTTCGTATTGACGAAGCTACTTCTGACCTTCGAGAACCTAGCGAAGCGAGAGTTTGTATTGAGGTCGATTTAGAATGTAAACTCTCTGATTGAGTGTGGATAGAAAGAGAAAAGATGGGAGGTTTTTGGTAGCTCGTGGTGTATGATAAGGTGCAAGACTTTTGCTTTCTATGCAGACACTTTGGTCATTTGGACGTGAAGTGTTTTAGTTGCTCCCATTCTGCTCCACTTCCTGCAGCCCTAGGTACTGGTGACCTTAATCATAGGCCTACTCCTGTTCCGGCCAAAGATAAGGGTCAGGGTAGGGAAGTTGTGACCACCCCTCGCATGAGGTGGACACTTGTTTAGAGGAACCAGATGAGACATGATAGTACATTAGAAATGATTTCTCATTCTACTCCTCATACTATTACAACTATTACTCCTGTCTTTCTTATCACTACAGTTACTACATCATAGTGAGCAGCTAACCATAAGGCTCCTAGTCTTTACACTGCTTCACATGTTATTAGTCATATTGCTCCGCACATTACCAGCTCTCTACCATCAGATCATTCTAAAATTGCTCCCATTAGTGTGGATACTCAGAGTTCTCGTGTTATTACATCAGCTCATCAGTTAGCTATTTAGTCTCTTGACCCCATTAGCAGTGCACCTATGATGGTCAGTCCTACATATTTTGATCATGTCTTGGTAGATATGCTAGAGAGGCCACAGGGTTTTATAGAGACAGATGCTCAAGTTATCTCTGCACATTGTCAGTAGAATATGGAGGCTTTCTTATCCAGAGATCAATCTGATTCTGATGTTTTTTCTCATATTGAAGTTCATCAACAAGGTCCATATCATCGATCTTCGGCTGATGACTTGGCAGGCATGACTACTAGGACAGATGATGATGGTTTTGTTCAAGTCGATCGAAAAAGAAATGTGAAAGCCACCAATAGGTCAATTCTTAGGATGGTGACCAGGAGTTGATCACAAGATACCTCTTTATGGACATCCAAATGAGTACCATCATATGGAATGTGAGAGGTATAGCTAGTGTAGCTACTCGTCGCACCTGAAGAGACTTATTCAGCTTCATCAAGTTTATCTCTTGGTTATTTTGGAGCCTTTTGTTTTTCAGCATAGATTTGCTTATATTCAACGATATCTGCACTTTGACACGAGAATTCAGAATGAGTCGAACAAGATCTGGTTTATTGGAATGCAGGTACTACTGTTACTGTTATTGTTGATCGTCCCCAGTTTCTTCATGTTAGAGTTGAGGATCCCAAATTAGCACGTCCTATCTATCTGACTCCTGTCTATGCTTCATGTAATGTGACTATCAGGAGGGACTTGTGGCAGGGTCTTCACCACATTTCCCTCGATATGGACGACCTTGGTTAGTTTGGGGAGACTTTAACGTTATTTCTCATGATGGGGAGCGCACTGGTCATAATACTTGTGATCGAGACACTACTACTTTCTTTGATATGATGTTAGATTGTGGTTTAGATGATGCTAGTTTCTAGGGAATCGGTATACTTGGTCCAACGGTCGAGTCAGAAAGAGACTGGATAGGGTACTCATTAATTCTACTGCTGCTGCTTTCTGTCGACAGTTTACATTTGAGGCATTTGAATCGGACTTTATATGATCATTTGCCTTTATTACTTCAGCAGGTTTCTGATGATGATTTGGGGCCTAGACCTTTCAGATTCCTCAATGTTTGGACCAAGCATCATGATTTTTCATCTTTTGTCACTCATAAGTGGTCACTCCCTACTCATCTTACAGGGATGATGTTCTTTGGGAGAAGTTCTTTAGGCTTTAGCAGGGACTGCGTTGGTGGAATCGACATGTGTTTAGAGATATTTTCCAACGGGACGTGATGCTGAGGATAGGATGGATGTGGCTGAGACAATATATGATAGAGACCTTATATCAGAGTATTGTGACCTATTATATCATGCACAGGCAGTTTTGAATCAGATCTTATCTATTGAGGGGGGTGTTTTTGGAAGCAAAATGCCAGTTCACATTAGGTATGTGAAAGAGATCACAATACTCGTTATTTCCATGCGATATCAAATCGTGTATTAGGTCAATTAGGATGCAAGCAGGGATAGTCTTAACAACTCCTACTAACATTTAAACTTCAGCTATTGCATTCTACCAGGATCTTCTATTTGCTCTTACACAGTTGTTAGACCCCATTGGCAATGATATCATCCCCAGAATTTTGACGGAGGCTGACAATTTGGCACTAAACCGCGTCCATTTGATTCATAAGGTTCGAGAGGTAGTGTTTAGTATAGATGCTGACAGTGCTGCCGGATCGGATGGATTGTCATCCATATTCTTCCAACATTGTTAGGACGTTATTCAGGACGATGTATACAAGATAGTCTTGGATTTCTTTGATGGCGACCATCTTCCACAGGGTTTTGTTGCTACTATTATAGTTTTGCTCTCTAAGAGGGACGGTGCTTGTAGATGGACTGACTTTAGACCTATCAGTCTTTGTACTGTGTTCAATAAGCTTATTACTAAGCTTTTGAACACTAGATTGAATACATTATTATCGCACATTATCTCTCCACAACAGAGTGGGTTCATTCTTGGTCGCATAATTGGGGACAATGTTCTATTAGTTCAGGAGCTCTTCCATACGTTAGATAATAGAACGCGAGGGGGTAACACGATGCTGAAGCTAGATATGACTAAAGCATATGATTGCATGGATTGGAGCTTCATTTATTCTGTATTAGAAGCATTTGGATTTGATCGGATCTGGATCGATAGGATTAGGCAGTGCATCTCGGAGTGTCATTTTTCTGTACTCCTAAATGGCCGTCCATGTGGTTTTTTTCCATCTTCACGAGGGCTCAGACAGGGAGATCCTATCTCACCATCCTTGTTCATCATAGCTGCAGATTACTTCTCACACCTGCTCATTCAGAGGTTTCAGGATTATCCTAATATGTGTTATTGACATGGAGGTAGTACTCCTATCTCGTACCTTTCATTTGCTGATGATATGATCATACTTGTCAACAGTTAGAGACAGTTAATCAGGAGGATTCTTAGTTGTTTGGAGCATTATAAGAGGGTCTCTGGTTAGTTGGTGAATAGGGAGAAGAGCGGACTCATACTACCCAAACGGGCATCTATTAGTCAGATCAGACGATTGGAGATTTTGACTGGTTTTCGACACCAGCAGTAGCCGTTCACTTATCTGGGAGTCCCCATATTCAAGAGGACTAAGAGGAGCTTCATTTATGATGACCTTATCCAGAAGGTTAGGAATAAGATCTCGGGTTGGGCTTCACGACTTCTTTCATATGGGGCTATATTATTTTGCTGAGGTCAGTCCTCTCCTCTATACCATTGCACTTTTTCCAGATCATACAACCCCCTAAAACTATCTTGAAGAAACTTGAGAGCATCTTTACGCGATTCTTGTAGGATTCCAAAGAACAGGCACGACGTTTTCATTGGCGGAGCTGGAAAGAGATTTTTCTTCCTACTGATGAAGGTGGTCTAGGCTTCAGGAGGTTACAGGATGTGGTGGACACCTTCTGCATGAAGTTTTCATGGTTGTTCCGTTCCCAGAGATCTCTTTGGGCCCAATTTTTACGGGACAAGTATTGTACAGGGACACACCTTTTATTTGCAATAGTTCCTTACTCAGTTTCTCCTATCTGGAAGAGGCTGAAATTAGTTGGACCCTGGACAGAGCCATACATTGGTTAGCACCTTGGTGTAGGTCAGACATTGGTTAGCACCTTGGTGTAGGTCAGATTTTCTTTTGGCATGATTACTAGATGGGAGAGACCACATTGGCATCCTTATTTCCACATCGGTAGCATACATCTTCGAGGGTGTAAGATTTTTTTTATNCAAGGGAAGATTGGATGCCAGTTCCCTTCTCGCTGCCAATGTTGTTCCAAGACTAAGACTAGCAGTCATATTTTCACTGGCAGTAGCATCTCTAATAAGGTATGGCAGCATTTTGGGGATATTTTTCAGATACCCCATGAGTTTAGGAGAGGGAGTCAGATAGAGATTCTAGAGATAGAGATATTCTGGACACTATGTTCGTTGTGGACACATTTACATTATCATTCCTCTACTCATATTTTGGTGCCTATGGACCGCAAGGAATGATGCTAAGCATATGGGAATTCACATTGTTGCTAAACATATCATTTGGAAGGTTATCGCATGATCTACTTTTTTCATATGGGAGGACTGCTTCGTGTGATGCATTGCGAGGGGATTTGACACTTGCAACCATATTTGGTATTTTTATGGACCCCCATTCCCCATCTCTCCCTATTCTAGTTTGGTGGCATACTCCACCAATCGGATCTGTCAAGATCAATACTGATGAATACGTTAAGGATGGTTTTGCGAGTGAGGCAAACATCATCAGAGACCATGCAGGACACTGTATTAGGGCTTTCTCAGCTTCGTATAGACCATGCTTGAATTCCCCGTTGCACTAAAATATCATAATAACATTTTCCTCTATAAAATTATTTTCGACAAAAGGTTGCGCGCCCTATTTGAAAACATATCTATCCCCATCCGATATAAATCCTACATCCCAAATAATATCACTTGGATCTTTCAGAGTCACGGTTTCAGCCAACTTTTCTCTTACATTTTCAGCAAAACTTCTTTGGGAAAACCTGCATATTAATTTATTCAAGTTATGTTTGCTTTATATCGAATACGTATATGGTCAGAAATAACATATGAAATACATATCCAAAGGAAAGACTATGCTACAACAAATAAATGAATTAACTGAATAAACAAGCATCACAATCGAATTCACACTCAAATATCAGCCATCTAGACTTGGCAGGCATGACTACTAGGATAGATGATGATGGTTTTGTTCAAGTCGATGGAAAAGAAATGTGAAAGCCACCAATAGGTCAATTCTTAAGATGGTGACCAGGAGTTGATCACAAGATACCTCTTTATGGACATCCAAATGAGTACCATCATATGGAATGCAAGAGGTATAGCTAGTGTAGCTACTCGTCATACCTGAAGAGACTTAGTCAGCTTCATCAAGTTTATCTCTTGGTTATTTTGGAGCCTTTTGTTTTTCAGCATAGATTTGCTTATATTCAACGATATCTGCACTTTGACACAAGAATTCAGAATGAGTCGAACAAGATCTGGTCTTTTGGAATGCAGGTACTACTGTTACTGTTACTGTAATTGTTGATCATCCCCAGTTTCTTCATGTTAGAGTTGAGGATCCCAAATTAGCACGTCCTATCTATCTGACTCCTGTCTATGCTTCATGTGATGTGACTATCAGGAAGGACTTGTGGGAGGGTCTTCACCACATTTCCCTCGAAATGGACGACCTTGGTTAGTTTGGGGAGACTTTAACGTTATTTCTCATGATGGGGAGCGCACTGGTCATAATACTTGTGATCGAGGCACTACTGCTTTCTTTGATATGATGTTAGATTGTGGTTTAGATGATGCTAGTTTCCAGGGAATCGGTATACTTGGTCCAACAGTCGAGTCAGAAAGAGACTGGATAGGGTACTCATTAATTCTACTGCTGCTGCTTTCTGTCGACAATTTACATTGAGGCATTTGAATCGGACTTTATATGATCATTTGCCTTTATTACTTCAGTGGGTTTCTGATGATGATTTGGGGCCTAGACCTTTCAGATTCCTCAATGTTTGGACCAAGCATCATGATTTTTCATCCTTTGTCACTCAGAAGTGGTCACTCCCTACTCATCTTACAGGGATGGATGTTCTTTGGGAGAAGTTCTTTAGGCTGAAACAGGAACTGCGTTGGTGGAATAGACATGTGTTTAGAGATATTTTCCAACGGGACGTGATGCTGAGGATAGGGTAGTTGTAGCTGAGACAATATATGATAGAGACCTTATATCGGAGTATCGTGACCTATTATATCATGCACAGGCAGTTTTGAATCAGATCTTATCTATTGAGGGGGGGTTTTTGGAAGCAAAAGGCCAGTTCACATTAGGTATGTGAAAGAGATCACAATACTCGTTATTTCCATGCGATATCAAATCGTGTATTAGGTCCATTAGGACGTAAGCAGGGATAGTCTTAACAACTCCTGCTAACATTTAAACTTCAGCTATTGCATTCTACCAGGATCTTCTATTTGCTCTTACACAGTTGTTGGACCCCATTCGCAATGATATCATCCCCAGACTTTTGACGGAGGATGACAATTTGGCACTAAACCGCGTCCATTTGATTCATGAGGTTCGAGAGGTAGTGTTTAGTATAGATGCTGACAGTGCTGCCGGATCGGATGGATTGTCATCCATATTCTTCCAACATTGTTGGGACGTTATTCAGGATAATGTATACAAGACAGTCTTGGATTTCTTTGATGGCGACCATCTTCCACAGGGTTTTGTTGCTACTATTATAGTTTTGCTCCTTAAGAGGGACGGTGCTTGTAGATGGACTGACTTTAGACATATCAGTCTTTGTACTGTGTTCAATAAGCTTATTACTAAGCTTTTGAACACTAGATTGAATACATTATTATCGCGCATTATCTCTCCACAACAGAGTGGGTTCATTCTTGGTCGCATAATTGGGGAAAATGTTCTATTAGTTCAGGAGCTCCTCCATACATTGGATAATAGAACTCGAGGGGATAACACGATGCTGAAGCTAGATATGACTAAAGTATATGATTGCATGGATTGGAGCTTCATTTATTCTGTATTAGAAGCATTTGGATTTGATCGGATCTGGATCGATAGGATTAGGCAGTGCATCTCGGAGTGTCATTTTTCTGTACTCCTAAATGGCCGCCCATGTGGTTTTTTTCCATCTTTATGAGGGCTCAGACAGGGAGATCCTATCTCACCATCCTTGTTCATCATAGCTGCAGATTACTTCTCATGCCTGCTCACTCAGAGGTTTCAGGATTATCCCAGTATGTGTTATCGGTATAGAGGTAATACTCTTGTCTCACACCTTTCATTTGCTGATGATATGATCATATTTGCCAACGATCAGAAACAGTCTATCAAGAGGATTCTTGGTTACTGGAGCATTATGAGGGGGTCTCTAGTAAGTTGGTGAACAAGGGACAAGAGCGGACTCATACTACCCAAACGGGAATCTATTAGTCAGATCATACGATTGGGGATTTTGACTGGTTTTTGACACCAGCAGCAGCCGTTCACTTATCTGTTCAAGGGGGCTAAGAGGAGCTTCATTTATGATGACTTTATCCAGAAGGTCAGGAACCAGGATCTCAGGTTGGGCTTCACAACTTCTTTCATATGGGGGTCGTATTACTTTGCTGAGGTCAGTTCTCTCCTCCATGCCACTACACCTTCTTCAGATCATGCAGCCCCCTAAAACTATCTTGAAGAAACTTGAGAGCATCTTTGGGCGATTCCCATGGGATTCCAAAGAATAGGCCTGACATTTACATTGGTGGAGCTGGAAAGAGATTTATCTTCCTATTGATGAAGGTAGTCTAGGCTTCAGGAGATTACAGGATGTGGTGGACACCTTCTCCATGAAGCTCTGGTGATTATTCTATTCTCAGAGATCTATTTGGGCCCATTTCTTATGGGACAAGCATTGTAATGGGACACACCCTTTATTTGTAGTAGTTCATTACTTAGCTTTTCCTATCTGGAAGAGGCTGAAATTAGTTGGACCCCGGACAAAGCCATACATTGCATGGTACCTTGGTGTAGGTCAGATTTTCTTTTGGCATGATAGCTGGATGGGTGAGACCACATTGTCATCCTTATTCCCACACCGGCAACATACATCTGCGAGGGTACATGATTTTTTTGATGATACTGGGTGGAACATTGGACATTTATTACTGGTTCTCCCTTCTCTTATGGAGGAGTAGATAGGGGCTATACCTTTATGTACAGATGCCCCAGATCGAATTGTCTGGCGAAATACATCAGATGGTACCTTCGCTACTAAGTTCGCATGGCAGCTCGTACGTTCAGGGCACCAGTATCAAGATTCATACCGATTACTATGAAGCTCCATTTTGCCTGTCAATGTCTCATTCTTCTACTGGAGACTATGGTAGGACCTCATTCTAGTAGATGTGGTTATTCAGGAGAGGATTGGATGCCAGTTGGCTTCTCGCTGTCAGTGTTGTTCCGAGACTGAGACTATCAGTCATATTTTCACTGGCAGTAGCATCTCCAATCAGGTATGGCAGCATTTTGGGGATATTTTTCAGATACCCCATGAGTTCAGGAGAGGGAGTCAGATAGAGATATTCTGGACATTATGTTCATTGTGGACACATTTACATTATCATTCCTCTACTCATATTTTGGTGCCTATGGACCGCAAGGAATGATGCTAAGCATATGGGAATTCACATTGTTGCTAAACATATCATTTGGAAGGTTTATCGCATGATCTACTTTTTTCATATGGGAGAACTGCTTCGTGTGATGCATTGCGAGGGGATTTGACACTCGCAACCATATTTGGTATTTTTATGGACCCCCATTCCCCATCTCTCCCTATTCTAATTTGGTGGCGTACTCCACCAATCGGATCTGTCAAGATCAATAATGATGAATACGTTAAGGATGGTTTTGCGAGTGAGGCAAACGTCATCAAAGACCATGCAGGACACTGTATTAAGGCTTTCTCAGCTTCGCATAGACCATGCTTGAATTCCCCGTTGCACTAAAATATCATAATAACATTTTCCTGTATAAAATTATTTTCGACAAAAGCTTGCGCACCCTATTTGAAAACATATCTATCCCCATCCGATATAAATCCTACATCCCAAATAATATCACTTGGATCTTTTAGAGTCACGGTTTCAGCCAACTTCTCTCTCACATTTTCAGCAAAACTTCTTTGGGAAAACCTGCATATTAATTTATTTAAGTTATGTTTGCTTTATATCGAATACGTATATGGTCAGAAATAACATATGAAATACATATCCAAAGGAAAGACTATGCTACAACAAGTAAATGAATTAACTGAATAAACAAGCATCACGATCGAATTCACACTCAAATATCAGCCATCTTTCTTGTATGTGGTCTTTAGAATATGTTCAACTACACACAAACTTTCGCAATTGATGTAGTCTAACCCATGATTTACAAAACCATTTTCAGGCACTAACAAAAAGTAATGAAGCGCAAATTTTGAAGAGAGTTAAGAGGTTTACACCTCTATTGATTGAGGCATAAGCCTTATAGTACGACCCTCAGATTCTTTAAGGGGGGTGCTCCTCTATTTTATTTGGGTTTTGGAGTTTAAAGATCCACTATTTCATTTGTTAAAAGTTTCATCAAAAGTTGAATACAATAATTTTAATGATAAACTCAGTCAATTAAATCAGAATACGATAAGGATTGCAAAAAGAACAAAGCAAAACACAAAACACGATATGCAAAAACCTAGCCCATTGAGCTGACTCCGAGAACCAAGTGACAGCAACAGCAACAGGTACTCATCAACTGTATCCACTTATACTCTGTCTCTATAATAGATCTCCATAAGCCTGAATAAATATATTTGTGTTCATAAATATGAATTTATCTTTGTTTTATTGAACGTGTTTTCTTTATAACGTGTATTTGCATGAAAATTATGTTGTGAAGTAACTTCTAATAATAATAATAATAATAATAATAATAATAATAATAATAATAATAATAAACTACACAAATAAGTGTGGTTAATGTGTGGCCTGAAAGCATGTGCATAGTGCATAACCTTTTATGTGTTTCTAATTCATTTTTTAAACTCCAATGTGTATGGACAAAATGTTAATTTATACACAATTAAATTAGTCTCGTTAGTTTATCATACTTTTAACCCCATTATAACTAATATTTGATAAAATGGATTTCCACCAGTCCTGTTGCTAGACCGATATGCCCTCTGCAAGAAAATGATTCTATGTCAGTCCCTCAAGTGACACAATTTTCTTTGAGCTTTTGCATTAGCTCTCGTAGATAGTCTGTAAGATATTAAACAAACAGGAGGAGAGAAACACAGAGGAATTTTCCATAGAATAATGGTGTTACGCTGCTGGCTTATATATGTCATGCTTAAGTACAATTTAAAAGAGTTTTCTATCACCAACTATTCTACCTGCTACCATTAAACCATACTTGACAATGCACTAACTTGTAGTAGGTCCAAACAAGCCTAACTTTACATCATTACATAAGTCAGACTTTAACCAAAAATCATGTGACTAATGGTAACCAAAAAATATTTGTAAAGTGACAACAAAAGTGTCACTTACACGGCTTCATTTAACACTCCTCCTTAACACTTTTGTTGGAAAGACGAAGACATTTTCTTAGTGTTTCAAATTTTTCCTTTGGTAATGCCTTAGTCAAAATATCGGCATATTGATCAATGGAACAGTAATGTACCAGTTTTACTTCAAAATGTTCTTATGCTTGCCTAATTGCATGATACTTGATCTTGATATGTTTTGTTCTACCGTGAAACACCGGATTTTTAACCATTGCAACTATTGGTTGGTTATCACAATAAATGACTATAGCATCAGATTGTTTGTAGTTTAGATCCTCCAAAACTTTCCTCAACTAGATGGCTTGATTATTTGCTTCTAAAGCTGCAATATACTCTGCCTCAACAATTGATTGAACAACCGTTTTTTACTTCATTGAATTCCAATAGATAATACTTGAACCCAAATAANTTTTTTACTTCATTGAATTCCAATAGATAATACTTGAACCCAAATAAAAAACATAACTAGAAGTGCTTTTCATATCATCATAGGAACCGGCCCAATCACTATCAGTATAGCCAACCAATTTTAGATTGCTGACTTCCTATACCAAATTCCCATTTCTGCATTCCCTTTGATATATCTAAGAACTCTCTTTGCAACTTGGAAATTAACTTCATTTGGTTCTTGTCTGAATCTGGAAAGCAGATTTGCAGCAAAGGTAATGTCAGGTCTTGTAATGGTTAAATACAAAGAGACTTCCTACCAAGCTTTTATAAATCTGTTCATCAGTCTTTCTGCCTCCATCATCCTTTAACTTTAAGTTTTGCATCAAGGGAGTGCTCACTGGTTTGTTGTTTTCCATGATAAATTTCTTTAGCATCTCTTTAACATATCTCCTTTGACAGATAAAAATTCATTCTTGAGACTAATTTATTTCCATGCTGAGAAAATACTGCATTTTTCCAAGATCAGTCATCTCAAATTCCTGCTTCATTTCATCTTTCACCTTCTTAATTAAGGTTTGATTGCTGCCGGTTATTAGAAGGTGATCAACACATAAAGAGATGACAATCACTTCTTCCTCCACATGTTTGATATAAAGTTTTTGCTCATTAACACTTTTACTGAAACCAAGACAGCTCAAATGCTCATCTATTCTGCTGTACCAGGCTCTTGGAGCCTACTTCAAGCCATACAAATCCTTCTTCAACTGATAGACCTTATCATTTGCTCCAACCACTAGAAAACCATTAGGTTGTTCAACAAATATCTCCTCATTTAAGTAGCCATTTAAAAAGGCTGACTTAACATCCAACTAGAGTATTTACAGCATTAGCCCAAAACTCTTTAGGCACCTTTTTCTCCAACATCAGATACCTAGCCATCTCCATAACCATTTTAATTTTCCTTTCACAAACACCATTTTACTGGGGAGAATATGGAATAGTCAACTGATGTTGTATCCCCATATCTTCACAGAATTTATCAAATTGGCTGCATCAATATTCTGTTCCATTGTCTGATCTTATAGCATTTATTCTGCAGTTGCTTTCATTTTCAACCAAGTTCTTAGACCTTTGAAATACACCAGCAACATTGAATTTTAGCCTCTGAAAATATACACAACACATCCTTGTCAAATCATCAATGAACAGT